AAAGTCAAAGTTATTTGCCTAAAAGTAACTATTTTCACATTGCAGTAGGTGAAATAACTGCTTCTCAAAGTTAGCAAACTGCATGATCCCAGGACAAAACTGAACTACTAAATCTTATGACAGAAGACAAAAATCAGAATCAATACAGTATTCTTATGTAAATCTTATAATCACCATACTTTGCTCACTGTTCTAAGGTAGAAATGAGATGAATCACCTAATGTCATGTTTACTGCCATCACAATTAATGAGAAAGTAAAACAGAATTACTCAACTTGGTCTGAATTCAAATTTAGAAAACATCAAAATGGGCCACATGCAAAATCCTTACATAATCCTAAATCTGAAATATACCAGACTTGAAAGGTTGTATGCTTTCCCCTATGGTGACAGCAAACCTTTTAGAGTTGTCAATGATACAAGCAGCCTGCTTTGGCACGTGCCTTAAGTTCACCACCACTGCCTCTCACCGTTAAATAAAGACAAGGAACTCTGCTTCTAGGCTCTGATAACAAATACAACAATTTTGTAGCTTCCCTGACAAATCAGTTCATTGTTCTTTAAGATGGGTAGAACGAATATTCATTTTATAGGACTATTTTAAGAAAACTGGGTGTGGAGGCACAAGTCTATAATTCCAGCACTCAGGAGGCTGTGAGGTAGGAGGAATGCCACCCACAAGTACTAGGCCAGCCTAGGTTTCAAGGTAAGCTCAACAAAAGCCTAGATTACACAGCAAGACCCAGTCTCAAAACAAACAGATTTATAAGGTTTTATGTGCAAAGTTAATGTGGATAAAAATAGCAATAACTATTTTACATTTTCCTGAACTTGTCTGCTTACACAATAGACTAGAATATTTTCCACAACAAAGCATTAGGACTTAAACCGAATATCTACACTATAGCCTAACTGAAGATGTGTTAGTCTCTACCACCCACACTGTATGATCTATTCCTATAATTGAATCACAAGTAGAACAGATCTCAAATGTAATGTTTATGTTCTATTATTCCAATTCTGTAAGTTTCATGTAAAATTTCTTTAAAAAGGAAAAAGACTTATCAAAGTTAACTGCTGTTTAAGCTAAGTACATTTCATAAACTCATAAATTCAAATTTTCATAAACTCATATTTTTAACTGTGAAGGCATTGGAGGTAACAAGAGAAAACTTGGTTGCCTATTGTTTTTTTAAGTAACTATAGAAGGGTGCAATGTAAATTGAAGTTCACAGTTAGGTTTAAATTGCCAGTATAAATCTTTTTTTATCTTTTTGGGACAGGGTCTCATTATGCAGTTCAGGCAGGCTTTGGGCTCAGTTTGTAGCCCACACTCGTCTTGAACTCACAATGATCCTCCTACCTCAGTCTCCTAAATGCTGGGATTACAGGTTTGCACCACCATACCTGGCTTGTATAAATTTTTATTTAGAAAAGGTATGGGTTTACCAGTGGTTTTTATGAAAAAGTTTTAAAATTATGTTTAGAAAATACAAATAACTCTATAGCATATTCAATATTAAAATACACCTCTACAAATCAATCTATAGTTAGTAATGTGGACCTTTTGTCTATGGTACAAGTAACTCTATAGCATATTCAATATTAAAATACACCTCTACAAATCAATCTATAGTTAGTAATGTGGACCTTTTGTCTATGGTACAAGTAACTCTATAGCATATTCAATATTAAAATACACCTTTACAAATCAATCTATAGTTAGTAATGTGAACCTTTTGTCTATGGTATAGAAATGAGGGAGGTCAAGAAACACACAGGGTTAGCCAGGTGTAGTGGCACACATCTGTAATCCCAACCCTTGAGAAGCTGAAGCAGGAGGACTGCCATGAGTTTGAGGCCAGCCTGAGCTACAGAGTTAGTTCAAGGCCAGGCTGAACTACATAGTAAGATCCTGTCTCAAACCACCTGCCCCCTAAAAAAGAAAAGAAACATATAGGCTTGCTAATCTGGACATCAGTAGAAGGTGCTCATAGATCACTACACAAAGGTAACACTAACTAGTTAGTGATAGAATTTTCGGCGCAGCTAAAGTATAAAATAAAAGTGGCCTTTATTTTAAGAATGTGGAGAGAGACTCCATGTCCTCCGGGGTCTGGCATTCTCTCTGACCCACATGTGGTGTGGGGCATACATGTAACTTAGGTTTGGGGTGGAGCCTAAGGGGCATTACTGATGCACAGGTAGCCCACTGGAATTCATCATTCGTGCTACAGGTAAATTGCTTAGGGGAAGATGACCTCAAGATAGAGCCTCTTGGTTCCGTCTCCCAGCCTCCCACCTCTGCAGCTTCCCATTCAGGGCAAAAAATCCTTTCAGTTAGTAGTACTGAATATTGTGTATTTTCTAGAATAAATTAAATAATATATAACATTTCCAATTCTTAGTAGTAGTCTTCATTCAGTACCATGATTTCAACTTGGAATATAATGTAATTTTTTTGAAGACTCACTTAATACTTGGAATTATAATGAAAATACTTTTATCAAACAACATTTAAATTTAATAAACAGAATTATGAAATAATACCTTGTTATTCAGCTAATGGCCTACATCACATACTATATTTATATTTGTAGAGTAGAAGGACAAGTACAGACTTGTTTGCAATCTGCCAATCCACTAGTTTAGAAACTATGATCAACCTAAATGCGAACCCATTTGGTAATTTTTAAATGCCACATTTTCTGAATCTAATTTTAAATTCTTAATGTAAAGACACAAGAGGATGATACAGGAAGTAATAAAACCCTAAAACATTATCAAGTAATGAAAACTGGCTAAAAGGACATTACTGCCTTTATAAATGGAAAGATCCTCAACAATTGCAATCTAAAACAACTGAATTTCAGCAAACATACACTATCTCTTAGAGGAAAAGGTACTAAAGAAACTTTCCTTTTTAAGTGTCTTTGTCACATGAATCACAGAAATCCAATTTTATGGAACAGGGGTGTTGAATCTATATGTTGAATATATTCACTTATGTTTATTATCCAGTAATGTTTATTATGAAGTTTTAAATATAAAGAAATACTTTTGCAAATATAATTTCAAGTAAGTGTGTTCTTGAATTTTAAGTGATACTAAATGGCACATTTTGAGAGTAGGCTGTCTGTTGGCCTTTGCTTTTTCAGAGAAAGTACCAAAAAGTGAAGTACACTGTACTTAATAAGTTTTTCTCATTTTAAAGTTAACATAGTTAAGTTGTGATGGATGTATAAATATTATCAATGAAAGAAACTATGATTCACTAAAAAATCCTCTATTACCATTTTCAAACACTTTACTCAGTACCCACACAATTCATATTCTCTTTACAAGTATTAGGATTCCTTTCCCTTATTGTTCTCATATAAATTAAAATACAATTTATCAATATAAATTCTAAAATTTGCCTTAATTAAAAAGTTTAGTTTTTAACTGAATGTTGTCTGAATATAAAAACCAAAATGTTTCATTCAATTTAATTATGATTTCAGAGACACTAAACTATTACACTATATGGGGTAAAAAAAAAAATCTTGTTTTTGTGGAAACCTAGATGGTAAATAGAAAAGGAATCATCTCTCTAAATTTTAGCTTTAAAAAGGGTTCAGGGTATCCAATGAATAATAAAGCCTGCTTTCTTTTTTCTCTCTCACACACCATTCGAATATATCTAATCTAGTCAAATTCCCACATGACTACCGTCAAAGCCAAAATAGTCTCATTTTAAAATTAAAACTGAAAGCAAGATATTTAACTGTCAGCTACTGTGTAGTATGAAAATAGTAAAGCCTACACTCACCTACTTCATATAAAGTGGTTGCATGCCAGGAAAGGAACAGAAATTACTATATAACAGTCTTAATATTACATTTTAAAATTGTCACTATTTTTAAATGTGTAAATACTGCACATGCAGTAACGTCTGGTTTATGATACGTTTCTTTTTTAATTGTAATATAAAAGTAGTTTCGGTATTTAAGTAGCTATGTCCAATGATGGGTCTGCAAGATTTTACAAAACAAGGTTTTGTTTTTAATGTCACAATTAAATTTTATTTTTAAGCTTCTATTAAAAAGAATCTCAGACCAAATTCCAAATATTGCTGTCTATTTTAAAAACAGAGCTACACTTTTAAAAAATGTCAGGTAATGAAGAATCCTACAAAGCAATGTAAGTTCATGTATAAAGAATAACTACAATGGCTCTAACAGATGATGGTGTTAGCATATTTAATTATAAGACTGCCACTGCCACCAGTCTTTAAGAGTTCAATTTAATGCTGAAATTTTGGAAATTCTCCTACAATACAGGAATAACAAAGGGTGTTTCATCTATTGTTTCTTTTTAAAAATTACAAGAGACGAGACACGTGATTCCTTATTTTTAATTAAAATATAACTTTCTACAGTAAACTAGCACCTTAAATATATTGTAAATTAAAGAAGTACTTTCTTCATAACCCGTGCAAAATGCTCTCTGGTAGGAAAATTTACTATTGGTAGCTAATTACAACTGAAAGAAATAGACACACTGGGTTTTGTGCTGCATATTTACAATCTTATCATACTGTACATTTGGAGGAAATCCACACCTCTTCTCTCCTTGCGACCACATCAAGGAGTAACCAACCACACTTCATATTCCCAGTTCCAAATTCGCGGTCGCATCATGCAATAGGGCTTAATTTTGACCCACATTCGTCTTACACTAAATGAAAAACAATACCTTGTTTATCTGCACCCTAATTGAAGAGGGGGCGGCAGCGTCTGCGGCTGGGGCCAGGCGGATGCACCCGCGGCCCTCCCCGAGCGGAGGACCCCGCCCCCTGAAATCCCTTGCAGATCTTCGCACACACGCCCCCCCCCCACGCGACCCTTCGGCTCGACGCCTAGTCGGCTGCGCGGCGTCCGAGCCCCGCAGCGCCTGGCCCTCTGCAGCGCCGCGCCCTCCCCGTGCCCCACTCCGCCCCCGCCCCCTCCGGGCCTCACCAGATGGAGCTCTGGATCTTGCGCTGCAGCGCGCTGGCCTCTGGCCCCGGCAGCCCGGGCACGAGCGCGGGCAGGGCCGGGCCCGGGCCGGGGGCAGGCTGCGGGCGGGCGTCGGGCTGCGGCGGCTGCGGCTCTTCAGCCATCGCTGCCGGGCGCGGCGCGGGCGCGGGCGCGGCCTACGGCCCGGGGCTCAGCGCGGCGCCGCCCGCCGCCGGGGGGGGCATCACCGGGCCGCGCTCACCGCGGCCGCGGCATGGCGGCGCCTCGCCGCGCCGGGCCCGGACGTAGCTCCCGACCGCGAGGGCGCTGCTGGTCTCCGGCGGGCCGTCTGCCTCGCCGGCGCTCTCCTCCAAGTCCCCTCCGCCGCAGCCCGGCCGCTCCACGCCGCGCCCGCGCCGCCGCCGCCGCCCCGCGCGGCCCGTGCGCAGCCGCAGTGCGGCCCGGGACGGCGAGGCGAACGGCGAGGACGCGCGCGCGGGCGCGCGGACGGCGGCGGCGGGGCTCGCGTGAGGGGGAGGAGACGCCGGGGTAACAGCACGCGGCGTGGACCGGCTCTAGTGTCTCCACGGCGGCGAAGCGAAAGGAAGCGAGGTCGCCCTTCCCCCACAGGGCGGGTGATTTCCGCCTGTGCCTGGCGAGCAGACGGGCAGGTGAGGGCCGGGACCGCCCCGGGCGGAGCACCCAGGGGCCGACCACGCCACAGCTGACCCGTAGAGGCTCGGCAATGGAACCCGGGGTCGGATCCCCTCAGCCTAGCGCTTAGAGCCCTCCGGATCTGGCCCCACCGAGGCTGTCCAATCCCAGCCGTCGTCATCGCCTGCCAGAGCGCGGGCGCCAATCAGCGCGGTCTCCATACGGCTTCGTGCGCACAAGCGCATCCACCTCTGCGCCCACTCGCGTCCTGTGCACCGCCCTCCACGCGCGTGCCTGCCGGACCCGGTGCACCTTTCAGCTCCCCTCCTTGGGAGCGCATCCTCCGTAACCCGACCATGCGTCTCTCCACCTACCTTCACGCGAGTGTATCTTTCTCATCCCCCACCCGTGCACCTTCAGCCACCATGCACACCAGCGCATCGTTTCTCTGGCGCCAAACATGCATCTCTCCACCGTGTTCCACGCGAGGTCATCTTCCTCCATCCCCCCTACTCGTGTCCTCTCCATTCACCCTCTGCGTGAGTGCATCCACTATCTTCAATCTTCACCCTCACCCATGTACAACTTCATCTGCCGGGCTCCAGGTATTCACTCTCTTCTTTATCCCCGCCAGGCCCCTCCAGTAGCTTCCCTCTTACGTGCAAAGTTCCTACCAGGCTCTGCGTACAGTTCCTCTTGCCACATGCTAGCCCACTTCTGAAAGAAAGGTGAAATGCAACAAAGAAGCTCAAGACAACCAGCAAAGTGCCAGTTAGAACCAGGACACTGATGGTCACACACACACACACACACACACACACACACACACACACTCATACCCCTCTTGAGAGTATGACCACCCGCCACAAACGACTCTGTTCCCTTTAGGAGTAGAATTGGCCTTCCTAGGTGAGGCTGGTCTGCAGGCATAGAAGATGGCAACCAAGGCTTCTTGCACTCCGTGAACAGCTGCCCAACCCCTCTAATCGGCTTTAGCTTTCTTGACAGTCTTGGTCAGGCTTATACCTGTCTGCATTTCTGGTCACTTTCTTGCTGTGCATGGGCTTTGAGCTGTGAAGTTCTGCCACCTTTCAGATTCCTCATGAGCGGTGAGTCTGCCTGAACTTTCGTGTTCCATACAGTTCCCTGCCATTGACCCTGTGCTCTGGGCCCTGGTTCACAGGCTCTCTCTGTGTGCTTGCACTTTAGGAGGTGGAAGGTGAGGGAGAACGATCCTGTGCAAACACAGCTCCCTCGTGAGGGTCCAAGCCTTTTCTGTTCCATGCACTTAAGATCCCCACTGCACGGATGTCATAAGTTCCCTTTTTTATAACCCAAGGTCAAGATTAGCTTGGCCACTTTATAAAACTACAGCTGGTACTAAAATTCAAAATATATATATGCCTTGGTGTCCTATGGAAAGACTAATTTTTCTGGATCTAATCAACAGACATGCTATACAGTAGACATTAGCTTTGAAGAAGAATCAAAATAGCTAGTACTTGTAGAACACTTTCAGAACTCTCTCGACTAGCACTTTCCATACGTTATCAGTTATATTTTCATAAAATTGTATAATTTAGGTAATATTACACTTCCTGTTTTACAGATGAAATTTGGAGTGGCCAAATAGTTACTGTGTTACTAAATGTGAGATGGAAGATCAGAATCCTGCAAGTTTAATTCCACAGCCTGCAGTACAACTAGGATTACATAGAAAGCCATGAATGTGTATGTCAACTCTGTGTCCATGGAGAAGACAAGGAAGTAAAGAGGTGGAAAAGTCACAAAGTCCCCCAGGCTCTAATGTTTTGTCTTGCCAAGAGAGAACAGTGCCTTTACATTGTCCAACAAGGGAAAGGAATACCCTTAGACTGCAGACAACTCGCTGAAGGAGTGACTAAGATCTGCTAAAGTCCTTAAGGAAAAGACACTGAGAACCAAGATGTCTTTCAAAAAGTTTACAACTGGGTGTCACACAGGCTAGCTTCCCAAGTGCAGCTTTTGTTGCACTTGTTTAATAAACAGAACCACCTTGCCCCAGTAGCCAGTAGAGGGCTCAGCGGAGCTGCAATCCGAGATGCCCTCTAGCATTGGTTCTGCCAGGCATCCTGTTGGGCCTTCTTGGGTCCCATCTGTAATAAAAGGGCTCCCACATGGTATCACCAAAATAAAACATCCTTTCAGGAAGGAAAAGGTCAACCCCTACTACTCAACAGTTGTGAGTAGAGTGAGTGCTTTAGTATAGTATCAGTGCTCTGCCAGGCTGAGGCAAGAGGATTTCAAATTCTAGGCCAGCCTGAACAGATTAGTCAGACCCTGTCTCAAAATAAAAAGGTCTGGGATGTATAGCTAATTGGAGGAGCACTTTCCTAGCATGTATGAGGCCCTGTGTTCAATCTCCCATCCGATAGGGTGAAAAGCCACTAAGAAGCTGGAGGGTGGGATGGGGACAAGGAAGTTACCCAAATTTATAGTTGAAAATTCAAACCAAACTCAGAGTGCTTAAGTAAAGGCCAGAGTGCAGTGATGTGTTTGTCCCCTCTGATGAGGAGTCCTGGTGTTAAGAGCCCTCACAGACTTCAAATGGACATAACTCGTTTTTTCACTTTCAGTTTGACTCAGTAGGAAGTAAACATGAATTCTCAATCGTAGATTTTAAGCTTCTTCCAACATTTAAAGAGTGTTTGTCCTATGCAAGAGTAAGAGGGGAAATTTTTTGAGGAATACTGATATAGTTGGAAAGGAAAACTCTAGCCTTAAAGATTTGGGAATTAGGGGGCTGGGGGTTTAGCTCAGCGGCATAAGCACCTGCCTTGCAAGCAGGCGGTCGTGAGTTCGATCCCCGGTACCGATAAAAATGAAAAAGACAAAAAAAAAAAAAAAAAAAAAAAGATTTGGGAATTAAAAACCTATTTTCATCTCTATAAAAATGAAAATAATGTTGCACAGATGGTGCACATCTGTAATGCCAGCACTTGGGAGGCTGAGGCAGGAGGATTGCTGCAAGTTCAAGGCCAGCCTGGACTATGTGGCAAGACTTTGTCTCAAAAACAACAATAGTACTAATAATAGAAATAAAGACCAACCCCACCAGGTTTTGTAAGAAACAACATGTAAGGTGATATGTAAGCCACAGAAGAAGGGAAATTGCAGGGTGGATTGTGAGCACCTCAAAGGTGACACCATGTCATTTAATCTGGTTTTTCTAGGACATCATTCCTGACTCCTGGAAACTTAATACATGTATTTTAATTCAATGGTTACCTACTCATTTTTTGAGGTTGGGTTTTTGTTTTTTGAGTTTTTTTTTTTTTTTTTTTTTTTTTTTTTTTTTTTTTTTGGTACCGAGGATTGAACTCACGACTGCATGCTTGCAAGTCAGGTACTTATGCCACTGAGCTAAATCCCCTACCTATCCATTTTTTAACCTAGTAAAATATACTGTCTTGCTCTCTTATGTCATTAAGCCCTATATTTTTCATGAAACTAAGCTGTTTATACTTTCCAGACTGTATAGCATGTACATTTATCATATACAGTATTCACCGTGCCTAATACATGATAGTATTATATACAGAAAATATTAAAAAGCCATACAGCACTCAAGCTATCTACCACAGGAGAGTTCTTGATCAGAACGGAAGGACCTTCAAACCTTGGTCTGAAATTGGGGCATAGCAGATAGATAGTGAGATAGGCAACTCTGGATGTCATGACGGAAAAACTTTGCCTAAACAAAGCAGAGGAAATTGAGAGATTCAACAGATGCCATCTCAGAGAGTTCTAGATTGCTGAGGTATCTGGCCATAAACTCAAATACCACACCCAGCACTGAAAAGGGAGAAGGAGGAAGTTTCATAATCAATTGGAAAGCCTCAAAGACTACATATGAATTTCAATCTCCTATCCATTCTTAACATCCCCCATAGGGGATGAGTTCAGCTGCTCTATTGAGGCACTTAAAAGGCTAGGTGGTGGGGAGAGTTCCAAAGTCTGTGCTTTCTAGCCATTTGAAGGTTTCCCCTGTTTAGTATTAAAAACGATAGTGCTGGGAATGTAGACTGCTTCTGTAATGTACAATTCCTGAGTTGGATCTCTAGCACTGCCAAAAATAAAACAAAAAGTAAAGCCAAACAAAACCTGTTAAAGCTATCTTCTAACTCCAAGCAGGATAAACATGTAATGCTCAAGAATCAGTGGAGAAGGTGATGAACTCATAGTTATCTAAATATGGCATATATGTAAAAGTAACAATATAAAAGTAAAATAAATATAGTTTAGATGGTGACAAATTTTTCTGTGAAAGGCCAGCAGTCAGTAATTCTGGTTTTGTAGTCTGTACAATCTTTTGTCAAAACTAGTCCATTCTGCAGTCCTGCTTCAATAATTAAAAGATGAACTCCTCGGGTGAGGCTTCATACACTCAAAGCAGAGTAAATAAAAGACAAGTAACATCTTTACAAATCAGAATGCCAAAGCACAGAGACTGTATTAGTGGCAGTCATGC